TTCGAATTTTTCCCCTATTATTTTCGATTTTTTTTGAGTCTTAAAAAAATATATTTATGATGTCAAACCGTGAGAGAATCCAAGCCTTGGAGGATAACATGAAGATCATCAGCGATGGTCAACATGCTACCAACGAGAACTTGGGAAGGATCGAACTAATGGTCCAGGACCTGGCCGGGCAACTAACGCGCATGAACACGCGGCCAAGAAGAAGACACGGGTCGCGGTCCACGGCGGTGAGCACCGGGACCGAGCGCGAGGATGATCACCGATCGCGGGGCTCGCACGCATCACACGCAGATCACCACCGCGACGGCCAACGACGACACGAGGGACGCGCACATCACGACCGTAGGCGCGAAGAAGATGACGAGCGGCAGTCGTAGGCATCATACGCATCGCGGGCCACACGCGATGAACGCCGAGCACGACGCGATGACCGAGAGCGCTACGACGAGGATCGGCGATGGCGCGAAGGGCGCGATAACCGACGACGCGAGCACGATGAGCAACCGGACGAACGGGCAGGTACACGACCAAAAATTGTGATGCCCACGTTCACGGGGACAGATCCGGATGCATGGTTGAGTCGAGCTGTGCAATTCTTTGAGATCAATGGGGTGCCAAGGTACGAACGAGTACAAATTGCTGCCTATCACCTTGATGGGGAAGCAAATGTTTGGTGGCAATGGGTGATGCACAAAAACCATGGCGAGTACATGCGATGGAGAGATTTTGAAAAGGAGCTTATCACAAGGTTTGGCTCGAGTGACTACCACGATTACAACGAGGCTTTGTCAAGGATCAAACAAGTAGGTAGTCTAAGGGATTATCAAAAAGAGTTCGAGCGAATCGCTAGTAGGGTACGAGACTGGCCCGAGGCTGCGTTATTGGGAACGTTTGTTGGAGGACTTAAAGCTGAGCTGGCAGCCGAGGTAAGATTGGACAGGCCAGGATCAATGCGTGCGGCTATAGAATCGGCCAGGCTGCACGAAGATCATCTTGTGGCAGTACGCAAGGCCAAGCCGAGCGACGTACGCACGGAGACCAAGCGCGCACACGTCGCGACCGAGGAACAGTCAACGCGAACCGAAAGCAAACCGATGGGCGAGATTGTTCGAACGACGAGCAACATACGACGGCTTACCGACGAGGAGATGCAACGACGGTGAGAAAAAGGGCTTTGTTATTCGTGCAACGAAAAATTTACGCCAGACCACAGGTGCAAGGGTAAGGAGGTCTTTTTGTTGGAATTTGAGGAAGGAGAACCACGAGAGGAGACATTACTACATATGGTTAAGAGTAAGAAGCGTGGTCCGAAGATGATCACATTCACGGCTGAAGTGGGAGGAAAATTAGTGGAAGTGTTGGTCGACAGCGGATCTACGCTAAACTTCATTAATGAGGAGTTGTCTAAGGAAATCGAGATTCCATTCACCACGGTGAAACCTTTTGGAGTTAAGGTTGCAAACGGGGAAACGTTACGAGGAGATATTTAATTCAAAGGTGTAAAGTTGAAGGCTCAAGGTCAAAGGATGAGAGTGGATCTCTATGCCTTGCCATTGAAGGCAACTGATATAGTGCTTGGATGCCAGTGGTTGGAGACCCTTGGTCCAATCACAACCGATTATTGGAAAGGAACTATGGAGTTCGGGAGATCAAGCAAGAGGGTCATGTTGAGGACTGAGGATCCAGGCGAGTCACCGGATGAAGATAACGGGGATGGTCGAGATGGGAAGCTGAATTTTCTAATCCTTGGGGACAAGGAAAGTCTTGAAGAGGAGGGGAATGATACGGAAGTGGAGTTTGTGACCGGAGAGGCTGGTGGACTTGGAGGGCTAAAACGCAAAAAGTGCGCATCGGCACTTGATGCGCACGTCTGGGCGAACAAGCCGCGCATGCAGGGTTGACGGGGTGTACGCGGGGGCGCCGTAGGCGATACGGGCCTGGGCCATGGCTGGGACACGCGCAAGTGGGCAGGCAGGCGCGAGGTTAGCGCGGCAGGATCGGGCGTGCGTAACACATGCGTGGGTGGTCAAGACGCGCGAAGCAAAGGTAGCGGCAGCGAGGCGCGCGGCGAGCGCGCGAGTGTGGGCAACGCGGGCGCATGCCTATGCGCGGTAGGTATAGGCGATGGGCGTTGGTCGTACGCGCAAAGGAGGAGCGGCGAAGGCTGGGCGCGCGCACAGGCGCGCGCGTGCGATACAGACACACGATGCCTAACTGCCAAAGGACTAGGAGAGCCCGTGGGTCGGCGCGCGCGACGCGTACAAGGGCGCGAAGAGTTTGGGGCGGCCGAGGGTTTTAGTTAAGGAGCTTCTAGATTTGCTTGGTGTGCAAGCCAAGCAATAGTTATTTGGTAGGTTTAGGATTTTATTGCTTTCTAGAGTTAGGATTCTATTATTGCTAGATTTAGGAGATCTATTAGATTTAGGCATAGATTTATTTTGCAACTATAAATACACCATGTACCTCATCATATTTTAAAAGTTGAATGAAGTATTGAATTGGTGAGCCAATCTTGAGGGGGAACTTTATGTTCTTAACGTGTGATAAAGAAGGCCATTAGTGCGTCTTTACATGCAGTGTCGGAGAGAAGGCCAATAGTGCGTCTTGAAGTCACGGTATCTAGGAGAAGGCCGTAGTGCGTCTGTTAGATACACCTATCGGGGATAAACGAAGGCCTCAGTGCGTCGTTTATTCGCAACCCAAGTATAGGCAAAAGATCGATCCGTCATCATAGTGTGATTACGTCAGTCGTGCGTAGCGTGCAGCTCTCGCCCGCAATGTCCAGCAGCTTGCTGCAGTGAGTATGTGCGTAGGCGCGTAGGGTACGCCAGTCACGCACGACAACACGAAGTCAGTACCCGCAGTGCGTCGCGAGTGTCGGCAGCGCACGCTAGCGTGCCAGCCACCTCGCAGCACGCGTGGAGTTGCCAGCCAGCAGTGCCCAGCGCATGCTGGCAAGTCCCAGCATATGCTAGCGCGCCCGATAGTGCGCTAGCATGTCCAGCAGGCATTAGCCAGTGCCCGACAACACGCCTGAGCGCCCAGCCCCACTAGTACGTGCGAACAGCGTAGCCAGTATGCCAGTCGCCTGCCCGTGGCACACAGCAGTGCCCGACAGTGACAGCATGCGCTAGTGTCGTAGCCAGCAAGCACGGCAGTGACCAGTCGTGCGTCACCAGTGCTCAGTTATTGTTGGTAGTGCATAGCAGCATGCGATGGC